TTATAAAAACAGAATCAAAGAACTTAAGTGACATATGTTGACTTTAGAACTAGAAAAAATTTAACACCTACAACTGCACACCAAAGTGTACACAACTACCAGGTATTATAGTTTTGTAAACAAAGTTTTGATAGAAGATTATTAAGTTTAAGCTTCCATCCCACCAAACATTCTGTCTGGCTAGGGGATAATTGAGGCGGCAGAACTGTGTTTGGTTTCTGCAAAGGCTATACTACATCATATGTGCAACAAAATACACATTTAAAAAGCTCACAATTCATCAGAGATAATAAACAATCCATCTGAAACAAGGTGAGACAGTTGTCTCAGAGCTTCAAAACACCAGGCCTTCTAACACACTTCAATGTAATTTCTTACTTTTCAGTAATAATCAGTAAGTTACAATGTGTTACTTTGGAGATGACACAAAAACACTGCTCCCTGTGATTTGGACAACCATTTTGAACCTTGCCTAAATCACTACCACACTGGTGGCTGCAAAGTATAATTCTTTCTCTTCATTAGCTGGCATTCTTCTGTAAACAAAGTTTTCCCTTCCCTCTTATCTTTTTGTTTTTTTAATCACTACAAATGCATGAATTCTTTTTATTCAATACAGTATAATCCATTCTTATTCTTATTCTGTCTTCATGACAAAATTGCCAAGTTTGACCAGGAAAAATTCTTGAAAACTGGCCCCTGCTTCCTTTTCACGTGCTCCCAACTGAACAATTCCTTACTGCTGCCTCAGCAAGGTTCCCCAGGAGCATCCTGCACCAAACTTGGAGCTTTCCACCAATGAGCTCTGGATCCTTTTAGAGGAGGATGTATTTTAGAAACCAAGACATGGGCATAAGGAGTCGAACTGCTGCTGGACCTTTCAGTGAATAGAGCTAGGATCCAGGCAGACACTCCTTTAAAATCAAAGTCAGCATCAACAATTAGAGGAAAACTTGACAGTAAGGGCCTCTTGATGTGATGCAAGAGGAAAGACACACCACTGCCTCTATAGTAATCTTGATAAAAATGATATAAAAGATTCTTGGAACAATTGAAGAAATTTGAATATGGATTATACATTAGGTGATATTACCATATCCATTAAATTATTTGAGTGTTGACAATGGTATTATGGTTATAAAGGAGAAAGACCTTATTTCTAGGATATACATGCTGAAGGATGTATGGGTGAAATGGAACGTTGCCTGCAATTTTCAAATGGTGCAGGAAAAAAAATTATGTATTGTGTGCATGTATACATTGATAAAATACAAGAAACAAAAGCAAATGTGGCAAAATATCTGTAATTGATTACGTAGGATAAGGGACAAGAGGTGTTTATTCTACTATATTTTTCATTTTCTATAGATCTGAACTTTTTCTAAATAATAAGCTGGGTAAGAAAAGGTACTAAGTACCTTAAAGTAAGATATAGTTATTGGGAGTTTGAAATTCATAGTGACCAGGCAGTTATTATATCTTAAACACAATGTGTACCATTCCAACTGTTACAATGGCAGAACTGGCAGGTATGCCTAGGTCTGGGGCTGGAAACAGTGTTGGTGGCCCAAAAAGTGCTGAATTTTTGCTGTACATACTTACAAATGCAGAGAGTAATGCTGAGCATAAGAGTTTACATGGAGATTCTCTAGTCATTGAACATATCCAGGTGAACAATACACCCAAGTTGTGCCACCAGACTTCAGAGCTCGTTTGGATTAACCCCTGAATGAGCTTCCCCTGGCACATGAAAAGGAACGGATTGTTTCTAAACCACAAGAGGAAGTTATACAGAAGAAAATGATAGCCCAGAGGAAACTGAATAAACAAAAAGGTATGACATGGGAGTAAGTTTAGCATTAAATGCAAACAAGAGTAAAAAACCAACTTTATGCTTTGTAGCCATACACTGTCACAACTACTCAACTCTCCTGCTGTAGTGCAAAAATAGTCACATATACTATGTAAATGAATGGGTGTAGTTGTGTTCCAATAAAATTTTATTTTAAAAAGCAGTCAGTAAGCCAGATTTGGCACAGGCCAGTTTGCCAAGCCCCTGCTCTAACCTAGAGCAAGCTTTCTGGGTGGTATAATCTCTAGAATATGTTGCCATCCCCAGTCCCTGCCCTTCCATACTTTTCATGTCACTTTCCTAATAGCTTCCCATGTTGTGTGTAGAGTATCTCAAAGTGAATGTCCTGCTTCACAGTAACTGGAGGTTCTTGTTTAATATACAAATGTTTGAGCCTCAAGCTACCCTGCTCAAATCAGAACCTCTGAGTGCAAGTGTTCCCCAACTATTCTTCTGTGCCCTGCAGTTCCAGTCAATGGTCTACAGGAGAAGATTAACGGCAGTCAAGGTGCTTCCACATTAGTCCCAACATATCAATTCAGTCTCATCTCACACCACACAAAGGACTCACCATCTCCCTAACTGTGCAACTTGGTCTCAACTTGTACTGTTCTTTCCTCCTGAAATGCCTACTCCATAGAACCTCCACCCCTAGCTCTCATTTGCCTAATTCTACTTTCTCCTACTATCCCTGCTCCCAGACACACAATCAATCTTTCACCCTGTCTATGTTTGGAGTTTAACAGTATTTTCCCCATTGCCATTGCTGTTCCTTTTTCTCTTTATTATAAAATCATTTGAAGGTGGGGGACAAGGTCTTTCCTGAGAATGCACAAGCACCAAACTCTAGACTTACACATCAATGAGGTCAGGTTTCAATACCAATGGCACAGCAGTTTCAATGTTGTACAACTTTATCTGAGAACCATACAGATTGACTTTGACCAACCTGCTGGCAAAGAATCAGGCAATTAAGAACTCATGGACTAAACAGAAAAATGGACAAGGTACCAACAACGATCCCAAGAATAGACTTTCTATCATACAAAAAAATGTAGGTCGACAACCCCTTTAGGTCCCCTCCCATTGTAGAAGCTCTTCTGTCCTCTCAATAAATCCTGTTTTCTCATAAAAAAAAAATTTAGGTCAAGGAAATAACCTGTGATTTATATATAAGCATATTAACCAAAACATTAGCATCAAAGATTTTGAAAACAATAGAAATACCCAATACAGAGGATGTAATACAATGTAATATAGCACATAATATGAACCACACTTAGAATATTTAATGACAAATACTCAAGATATTTGAAACATGAAACGGTTGTAACAAGTTTATATACAGAATATTTGCTAATTTTGTTTTTTGTAATCCCTCGCCTTTGGGAGGCCGAGGTGAGTGGATTGCCTGAGCCCGCAGGTTCGAGATCTCATTACAATAAATCAAAAAATTAGCTGGATGTGGTAGCGCATGCCTGTAGTTCCAGCTACGTGGAAGGCTGAGGCAGAAGGATATCCAGAGCCCAGCAGATCGAGGCTGCGGTGGCCGGGAGTGGCCACTGCACTCCAGTCTGGGCGACAGAGTGAGACTCCAACTCAAAAAAAAAAAAACGAAATGTTTCAGAAGAACGGATACGTAATAAGGAAAATACAGCAAAATGTCCACTGTAGAATCCAGGTGCTGGGCATATGGGTATTTCCTATACAATTCTTCCAACTTTCCTGAAGATTTGAAAAAGTTTATGATAAAATTTTGGAGGAGGGATATGGAAGAAGCAAACATCACTAGAATTAACTGAGATGTTTTTAAGTTCAAGTACAATTCTTTCAAAGCAAGTTGTTGAGCCCACTGGTTGTTCAAGGGCTCACTATGTACAAATGAGCATTAAATACAATAACTAACAGCCAGTTCTAGTAGGAAATGGTGAAGGCCTCTCTTGTTAGAGAGAGAAAGACATTCCTTTCTGAGTGAAGGGAGGAAAAACTCAAGACCTGGCTAAATTCTTTCTGTGCCTTCTCTCTGTATGGAAACCTGGGAGGGAATCTGGGGTGGATGCCAAGGAGACAGTGTGTTTTTCTTTGAATAAAACAATCAACTGGGGAATTTGCTATAAATGCAAACTGCCTGGTCCTACTCCATAGACTGATTCCATAGGTATGATGAGGGGTCTGGAAATGAGCATCACTGAAAAGCATCCAGGACTCTGATGCATGGAGGAACAACACTCTGAAAAATACTCCTATCAGGTGACAGAAAGTGACACTTTGTTTCAAACAGAAAACCAATAAGGGTACCTGATCTCAAACCAGGTGAAGTGGGGACCAAAGTGAGACCCAAATTTTACATGTTCAATGACCATCTGAATATCTAACCCCAAACTGTATCCCACATCTTTGAAAAAAAAAAAAGAAAAGAAAACCACAGGCTTGAACTATACATTATTCAGGGCCGGGGAACAGTCAGAAAGGAGCAGTTCTAGTCAGTCAGTCAAGGAAATGAAGGTAAAAGGTCTTAACTTCAAACCCTGGTGATAACTAGGAATCAAAACAATTACTATCATCCTGTTCTACACTAAAATGGACTTCTAAATGTGCCTTTTAATATTTCTATGTTTAACAGTTTTAACATTAGCTTTGTTTTATGTAACCTGTAAATGAAAACACTGATAATCAGTCTGGCTATGAAGATCATGTAGCCATAACAAGAGTCTTCACTCATATTCTAAATGAAGACAAAATAGCAAGTAACTTTAACTATTGAGCTTGTAAGCCTAACCAGTGCAGAAAGATGTATATATAAGGACCTATAAAGTGATTCAGGATCTCTGATATATCTATCATCTCACTACAAAGCTGAGATGACTACAAATCTATTTATATTACGTCACAGAGCAAATTCCAATAATGGACTAATCTATGGATTTCAGACAGAAAGACATGCCCTATCTCTGCAAAATATCAGTGCAAATGAACCCAGCACAGGAGAAACAGAAAGAGACTCTAGCAGTAGAAATGCTGCAGTGTGGAACGAGCACAACATTTGGACCCAGGAAACTGGTTAAAATTTACACACTCCTTCTCATGAACTGTGTGAACCAAGGCTTAGCGCTTAGCACTACTGTGCTACAATTTGCTCAACAATAAAATGGCAATATTTGCTTCCCAAAGTATAGAATGAAATGAAAGAAAATATGCAAAAACATTTCTGAAAATGCCCGACTACTCCCTACTACTGTATGTTGCTTTTATTATTACTATTAATCCAGCTTTTGATTTCAAATTCTTAGTTATCTCTATTAAGCTAAGATGTCACAGCTGAAGAAATATCTGGTGTGCATGTAACTAGGCTCTTGGGGCTTGATTCCCCCTCTGCGTGTTACTAGTGATATGGCTACTGAACCAATGAAAGCGTCAGGCATCTTGGCTTTGGGCTGGACCTACATTTATTTCATTTTGATTTAATCAATTCACCAATTATCTTGAAATCACCTAAATCTCCCATCACTTACATCTGAGCTTTTTTGAGTGGGGAGGGGGGAGGAAGGACTGACAGTTGGGTAGAATGAAATGTTCTTCAACAAATGCAGCTGTAAATCCTACATGGAACCCAAGGGGAAGATGTACTATTAATAAAAGGAGCCGGGTGGTTCAGTTTGGAGGCTACCCAGGACCCTAATGGCCTGGAAAAACCACAAAGAGCCCTACCTCTGGCATCTGGCTGCCTGCTTGGATAGTGGTGGTATCCCCTTATTGTAGAGCTTTCTTAATGTCTCTTCTCCTATGAGGAAAGATATGATGACAGACCTTCCCTGGTTTCTTGTGAGACTACTACTGTCTTTCCATCTATACCTAAGATCTTCAATGAAATAACAGCTTACATTTTTAGTACCCTCCTCCTCCCACAGTGCTCCATGGCTATATTCCCAGAACCCAGACTAACTCTGTGTCTAATGCTTTATCTCCTTTAATTCTCACAATAAATCTACAGGAAAAAAGTTCCACTGTATTTTACAGATGAGGAACCTGAAGTTCAGAGAAGTTAAGTAAGTTGCTCACACTGTATGTGGCAGTCTAGATTCACCTGGTGCCACAGCTGAAGCTATTGGGCAACATGCTGCCCCTCAGACAAGAAGGTAAATTGAGTTCTGAAAAAGGAACGGCTTCATAATATAACGCTTCATAATGACGACCGTGAGGGCATCATTGAACCGTGCAGCAAACACATCCCCGATAAAGTACTCGGCTAAGCGGCCCACAGCCTGCAACAGGGAGCTCAAGTCTCTCAGGGAGCAGTGCAGCCACCAGCAGTCATTCTCCGCTGTGATGTTCAACCTGTGACCTGGAACACAACACCTCAGACAGTTTTGCACAGGAAGAACACACTTTAGATACTACAGACGAGCTACTCATAGCAAAACCAATTCCCAAACAAGGCAACCACAGGATGCCTCCCAGT